TTTTTCAGTTTATATTAATTGGTTTTAATTATACTCAAATTATTGTTTTGACGCCTATTAATTAATTATACTCAAATTATTGTTTTGACTTTAAAAATAATGCAGAATTTGAACTTTTTTTAAAGGAATTTTAATTAAAAGCTTAATCATGAAAATAAAGAAAAAATACCAGAAATGAATTCAATATTTTTTTAATTATAAAAGCTTTTAAAATCATGCCCTATTAGATGAAGGAAAAAAAAGATTTTTTAAATTTATACAATATTTTCTGAAAAAGGGTGTGCGCAAAATGAAAAAGTGAACCGAGCAAATTTTCATTAAATAATCGGATTTTCACACACTAGGACTCACTCGTAATAGTTTCAAAAGTCAAATCTTAAATGGGCCAATTAATTAATACAGGCGATGCTTTAATGATATAATAAATTGCAAAATCCGACACGAAAACGTATTTTATTTAAAAAATTAAATTTTAATAATTATTTAATAAACTCATTTCCACAGATTTGGAATTCTGATACTCAAAATATGGATGTCAGCTGGCTACAATCCGAAAAATATGGTAGCAATAGTTTATGCAGGAGGCGGTCGAAAGTTCGGAACTTTTAATATTAATTTCACTTTTTGCGCATTTCGCGATATCACGAAAATTTTTTAAGCGAATCAAAAGAGTTTTGCACACAATTATAAAATTCATTAATCCAAAGATAATTTCATTTAAATTTTTTTTAATAATTATTAATTATTTTATCTGAAGGTTGTCGAAACATTTTTCTGTTGTAACGTATATAAATTTTTACACCATAGTAAAGTATGTAATTTTAAATCACAAAATTTGAACAAGATAGATCGAATAGTTTCTGAGTTAGCAAATTTCAAAACGCCATATATTTGAACTTTGATTTCTCTAGAATTATACCACCAATTTAATTTAAATTTTTGTATTTTGTTGTTTAAAATTACATATTTAGCAATATTATACCTTACAATTTAATTTCCTTTCCGTAGGTAAAATATATTATAATAATTATTATTTTACATACAATTATATTCGGATAAAGGAATTTAAAAAATTGTGTGCAAAAACTTTTTGATTTGCTTAGCAATTTCCAGAGATATGGCGAAATACGAAAAAAATAAAATTAACATGGATAGGTCCAAACTTTTTATCGCTCTCCTGTATAATTATTGGGATCATATTTTCTAGATTTCGGCCAAGGTGTATATTTCAAGGGTGAGAATACCAAAACTGTCGATTTTTTTTTTTGAAATATATGTTTTTCTGAGAATGTACTTTTTGAGTCTGATATCATAATTTAAAACATCGTCAGCATTAATTTGAACGATTTATATTTAAGGTTAAATCTTTAAACTGCAAAGCTTGAGTATGCGGAAATCCGATCATTAGATTAGATTAAAAGTTATTCTGAACGTTCACTTTTTATTTTGCGCACAGCATATCAAATTTGGCCATTGCATTCATTTGGTCTAAAATAAATTAAACCAATTTTACATTATAAAATATGCCTACTTTTTCCACATTAATTTTGAATCTAATAAAAATTTTTCATTGAATAGTATATTTAATTTTCATTTTAAATATTCTATTTGAAATCAGTTTATTAAAGTGATTTATCTCAGGACAAATAAAAATCCCATTAGGTTGTTACAACATAATCTATGAATGAAAAGGGGAAACACAAGTTAAAACTGAATTAATGAAAATAAATTGTTACTTTTTACGTCAGTCGTGAAGTCTTCAAAGAATCTCTGGGGGATCCTTGCTTCTTCTTATAACCTCGTTGAATTTTTAAATCTTAAAAGAAGACTTATACTTTTAAAATTAAGCTAAATCTCCTCCAACATGAAATATAAAAAAACACACACTTAGTCAAGATCGAGTCGCTCTCTAAAATCTGCTTAAGTTTTAAGTGTTCAATTAACAAGTGCACGCGTAAAATGAGAAAATTGATGTAGCTCCTAATCACGTAATTGGTTTTAAAAAATATGCCAGTCAAGGAATCTCTCCTTTATTCGTCCTCCTGTTCTGCAACAGTTGATTGATTTGTTCATTTACGTCGCACTAGAGCTGCACAATGGGCTATTGGCGACGGTCTGGGAAACATCCCTGAGGATGATCCGAAGACATGCCATCACAATTTTCATCCTCTGCAGAGGGGAAGGCACCCCCGCTTCGGTAGCCCGACGACCTGCACGCGAAGTCGAGCACTTTACGGTAGAACAGTTTAACAAGCACCAATACAGCACACCCTCGGTCCCTACGCAGACTGATCCGAGTGGTCACCCACCCGCACACTGATTGACTTCGGTGATCTGCTGGGAACCGTGTCTCAACGATCAGTCCACTGCGGGACGTTTTTCTGTAACAGAAGTTACCGCAAAGAAGGACAATTTAAAAGTTTCAATCTTATCTTATCTTCCGTATATAGAGAAATAGCATTTTTCACTGAAAAAAAAGTAAAAGTTTGGGGGGGATTTGGCGGTCCCCAAGATGTTTCAGAGACGAAAAGGATGCTTTGACTTCGGCATATGTCAGTGCTGGAAATCAATTTGTGAAATCAAAAATGGAATTAAAATGTGTAAAAAATTATGTCTAGTACAGAATTTTTTTTCATTGTTGCTTGGTGGAGCCCCCCCTTACCTCTGATGACCTAAGTACGTGCTTAGTGTGCTTAATGGTTAGTCCGGCCTTGGGTATTTTATACTATAAAACAGAGATATTTCATTATGTAACTATCGTCCCTCAAATTGTTATTTTGCAGTCGTATTTTTATAAGTATATATCCATAATAATTTTTTCTAAGCATTTATTGAGGAAAAGAGTAAAGAATATTTACATGGCTCCTGGGCACAAATTCACTATTTCATTTCCAAAAGACAAGTGCGTACTTTTTTCACATGTAGCGCAATGGGTCAGAAACATTTTTACTTGACTAACCGGGAGAGTGTTCCTTTAGCTAAATATTCTTGGGAACACCGTGTGCAGCGTGTCCTGGTTATTAGGGCTGTGCGCGAGTTAGATTCGTAGAAATGGGTGACCTGGGTTCGAATCCTGGTGATGGTTAATTTTTTAATTTTTTTTTGTTTATTTTATTTTATATTATTTTTTTAGTGTATTTTACGATATTTTAAAGTGTTCTCTATACATAAAAAAAATTCCTTCGGGAAATAGCGAATAATAGGTAAAACCCAAATAAATTCGGGATAATTTATTTATTAAATTTTTTAAGCTTTTTTCTCAATATTTTCGATATTTTAGCGGGAATAAAGTGCGTTCTATGTATAAAAACAAGTATCTTTCTTTCTCAAAGATGCGAATAATGGACGGAAATGGCCAGGCTCGGCACGCTTATCGTGATAGGTTTTCGTATTTTTCCTCTCCATGTAACACAAATGCGTGTTAGTTCCATCTTAAAGTTTTCCACGACCGCAAATTTCTCCCAAAACTTGATCCAAGAGTTCCCTTGTTTCCTGAATCAAAATTACAAGACTACGGAGGTGAACATTAGTAGTCGTAAACCCAAAAAATTGGGTCGGCTGTTCCACGACGGTTATTAAATAAAATAAAATGTATATTTGTATATTATAAGCGGCGATGAACAGCTGACCCGATTCTATGTTAACAGCAATCAATATTCGATTCCTTAGCCTTGTAATCTTTATCCTAACCCAGAAGACAAGGAAACTCCTGGATCATGCATTGGGAGAAACTAGCCTTCGTGGAGGACTTTTTTATGGTTATGATTAGCACTTCGGCGAGGGGATTATAACCCATGTTCCGTCAACCACTGAGGATATTTTACGTTAGAACTGTGATCGTTCCTAGAAGAATTCGTATCAACCAGCCACCGCTGGGATTTGAACCTGGGTCATCTCATTGGGATCTGCTGAGCCACTGCGGCTCCTTATTTATGTATTTTATAATGAGAAGGAACTTTTTTTTTACTTTAAACACTCAATTACGCATCACTTTATTGATGCATTCCATTTTTTATTACATAACTGTCGTTAAACAACCGGCACAATTTTTTTGACTTCAAGACTACCAATGTTCAACTTCATAGCTTTGTAATTTTGAACCCAAGTCAGAAGACGAAGGAACTCCTGGATCAATTACGAAATAAATGCCTAGTGAGGAACTTTTTTATGGAACTAACCCCAATTTTCGCTACATGGAGAGGAAAAAAATGAAAACCTTCCATGGTTAGCCTGATGGCAAAAAGATTCTTTCCCATGATCCGTCTTCTACTGAGGATATTTCACGTCAGCACTGTGGTCAGTGTGCGGCGACTGCGGAATTTGTATCGAGCAGCCATCACTGGGATTCAAACCTGGGTCAACTTAATTGGAGGCAAGAGCTCTATTACCTGAGCCACCAATTACTGGCGTATTGTATGTAATATATCCTTTAAAAGTAATCTGATTTCAATGGTTCTTCTTTTGTTCATACTCAAGTTCAGCCAATCTTTAGATAACACCCTCTAACACTGAAATATCAAAATAATTAAGAAAAAACTCCATTAGAAAGAAAGAGTTTTTTGTGATTATGATAAAGCAAGTAGTAAATTAAAAAGCTAGAACTAAAAGAGATACTTCAAAATAAATTTGAACATGTTATATTTTATTAAATAACAAGGCTATTCGATAACAAAAAATTGGGAAAAACACTTAACTTCGAATATCGTGACCTACATAAAATCATCTCTTTTAATAAGTACGTTTTCAACTACACGATTTAAATGCGTAATAAAATATTTCGTTCTCATATTTACTTCTGATTTATGTCAGTATTTTTCAAAATGGTGAAGTATTTCGCAACTTATATTAATACACTTCATGAAAATCAAGATTTAAAAAAATTCTATGTGGCATTTTAGTTCACACTTTTTAATTGGCGACTTTAGTTCGGCAAATTCCAAATAGCAGACAGAAACAATATAAGATTACAACAACCCTAGAAAACCAAAGCAGCATTCTCTCTCGTCTACTGGAGCAAAAGTAAATTTTAATAAAATCGTAATTTCTTATATTTGTTGCAAGAGTTTGCATTTCATTTTCGATAGGACTTGCAATCTATAAAGATAATAGGTCACTTTTAAAAAGAGAAAGCTATTTTAAATGATGGACTTCCTAAATAATCGTCTGCTTTAAGAAGCTATTTAGGATTGTTTTGTTCTATATTGTTGGTGCTAGTAAAAGCAGCCGTTTGAAAAAGCAGGTGAAGTAAATATTGGTCTATTTTCTTAAAAAAAGGGTAAAAGGGGTTGTTGATTACTAATTAAGAATTCGGTGATGCATCCATTTTCTGGAATATACTCTCCCATAAGTTTGATCTTTCAAATACAAGATCGTTTGTGTAATTTAAAGTTTGAATTTCAATCTTTTTAAAATCCCTCCCAAATCCTTTTGAAAATTTTATCTTTTTTTTTCCTCAAAAAATTGAATTTTTTAAGGTAAGTGGAATATTTTTATTTTAAGATTACAGAAAAATTATTTATTTAAATTGTATTAATAACATTAATTTTCAGTGATAAAACATAATTTTATTTTACGAAATTCTTGTTACTTTTATTTAACTAGTCATTTTTACCGGTATACTTACTAATTTTATCTGGATAAAACTAATAAGTAGATTATTAGTAGATGTGTTGAACTCAGATATTAATTCAAAACCAAACAGGGCATTAATAATAATAATAATGGCAGATGGAATAACCCTGCAGACTGTAAGGATGAAATAAAATCCTGTCTTTTAAATACAGCAAATATTGCCTTAAAAATAATTTATTTCAATTAAACTCTTTAAAAGTTAAAGCTTCTAAGAGAAAAACTCATTACCATACAGGAATTTATATTTAATTCAGAAATAAACGTGTATAATTTACTATGAATATTCTTGAATAAGCAGTAACTTATCTAGCCCAATATTTGAATTAAAATAAGGAATGGAGTGGAAAATGATTTGGTGTTCCTAGTAATTTCAATTTCGGTTTTTTTATTGATTAGGGTTTTGTTTTTCTCTTTGTTTTTTTAGTCTTTTAAAGTTTATATGTATTTATGTAGTGCACACCTTGTACATATGAAAGCGTAAATTTAAGATTGTTTGGTGAAATACTGTTTTGAGCAGGGCTTGAAAATTAAATTGCCCGACGAACATTGTGATGATTTGCATTTTTTACACTTAAATGCCTGGCCCGGCATGTAAATATTTAGCGAAATCTTAAAATACTAATTAATCTTTTTTTAAATTTTGAAGAAATCCTTAGAAGGGGTGAAACAAGGACCCTGAAGGAAAAGATAATAAATAATATTTGATGTGACTCAAATATTACTGAATTTAAATATCGAAATAAGAATTCATGAAACAAAGTTTTATAATTTTTTACTTCTCTAATAAGGCTTATTTGTATTTTTTTTAAAAATTATAATTACACAATTCAAACGCACATATTAAATAATTTGTGTTTAAGTATTTAGCATATTTTTGATTAATTTCATTCGTCTGCACTTAAATGTCAGTTGTCATAATTTCCTAAAAACCAAAGTAAATAATTGTAGTTTTTTTAATATTTATTTTTAAACACATACTTTCATTTTGAAATGCTTTCTTCTTAATTTTTGAATATATTATTTTTAAGTATTAATGATATAAAAATTGCTGTTTTCCTTTAAAATGAAGTTTTCTTGTATTTGCTATATTTAAGAAATGATTATAATACATCAAAAATAAAGTTTCCTTCTTTCCAAAGCTATAAAAGTGCATAATTTCATGTTATATGCGCCATCTCTGTTTTCAAATCTATTTTGCACTTCAAATCTGGACATATAATAATGAAAATATTACACTGGCTCATGAATGTTTAAAATTAAGGAGTTATAATTAAAGCACATAAATATTTGAATAATGACATTATTCAAATATTTATGAATTATATTTATTATTCAAATATTTATGAATTATATTTATTATTCAAATATTTTGAAGAAATTGAAAAAAAATTTAACCATTAATACATTTTATTTTTGAAGTTCGGGCTTTTACTTTCTTCGACCTTGAACATTTTTTTTTCTTTTTTTCTGTTTAAAGTTACGAGACTTAATCGATTTCAATGAAAGTTCTTAAACGTCTAAACGAAAAACAATGCTTTCTTTATTCACGGCAATATAAATTCTTTGAGTACATTTTATAACTTAATTGATGTCATCTTTATATTTTCTAAAGTAAAACATGGAAAATTAAGTTTTCTCATTTTGTGTTTTATTATAATTCTTGCCGGTCGCTATCAGGCAAGCTGATATTTGACTACTACTGTTAAATTTTTGTAATCAGGTGAGAAGAAAATCATTTCAGAATAAAGAAACATGCATGGAAAACAATAAATGCATTGAAATAAGTTTAAAAAGTAACTACAATTGACAAAAGAAAACTGGCATATTTTTTTCTTTTTTTTATTTGTTAAAAAAAGTTGCGTGTAGAATTGTTAAGTTCCTTTATAAAAGTAGCGTATGGGATAAGAAATGTTTCAAAATAAAATTGCAATAAATTAATTAAAATATTGGTCTAAAAATATTACTTCCTATGCTTAAGCACTCGTTTATTTCCAAAGGTTGTAATTTGTGTCATTGAAGAAAAACAAAACCAATAAGTTAGCAGTTAATGAATTATTTGAACTCTATTATTTAATCAAAACAAAAAAAAAACTTAAGCAAAATATTGCCGTACAAGCGAAAAAAAAAACGAAATTGGGGTTTTTATATATTTGGCATCTTATTATGAATATTACAAAAATTTTATTTTTCAAAAATCAGTTTCTTAGCAGTTTTCTAAAATTTCGTTTCAATGTAACTCCGACTAAACCTTTAATTTGCAAACAGAAAATGTAACTCCAAGTTACAATTAAAAAACAAACTAAGTAGCTATCTATTCAAGGTGACTTTTTCGATAATGTAGAAAAATCGACTTACGATGATTTTTGTATTGCAAGTAATTGTCCAACGTCAAAGAAAAGCATGGAAACCCTTATATTTACGTTTTTCTTCTTCTTTTTCTTCCATCTGTCTCTTCATTTCTTCAGTATCTTGTGCACATGTTGGTTTGAAAATTTTAGGTTTTACTTAGAAATATAATTTTTTTTTCAAAATTATCGTGAATTAAATAATTTTATACTACCAGAGAATTTTGGGAAAACCTCATCAAGATTACTGATTACCGTTTTCGACTGTGTGCTCCGGCGAAAAACGTACGAATTTTTAAATAAATGTTACGAATATGTTTTAATAATAAACGGCTATTATTAATAAGTTTTTTTGGTAAATGTCTTGTAATTAATCACACCAAGTGATTATTATTAATATTTGCCATTGAAGTTTGGTAAGTGTAGTTAGTTCATCATAATTTAATGCAACTACTACTCAAATGTAATTTTTGTATAACATATTGCCTTGAAGAATTAAAAAAAAAAGGACTGCGTGCTATGCGAACTTTTACCTAAGTTCACATTTAAAGTACCAGATCTAAAAATTTGATCTAACTCTATCATCATGTTTAAATTAAAATAATAGATCTAATAGATGATTTAATAGATATAACTTGAAATAATAGATCTATTGATGCTGGTCAATTTTAGAAATCTTGAGTTCATTAGTTCTTGATAGTTCTTCATAGTTGATAGTTCTTCATAGTTATTGAGTTCCACTGCCCGTTATGTCCCTGCACTGTTTTTTTTTAAGGTAAATGCTACCGCTTGGTATACATTGACACAGTATATCATACAGTGATGCTTTTTTAGGTTGTGTTTTTTTTAAAAAAAGTAAAAATAATCAGAAAGAATTAAAACCGTCTAGCATCACACAAGTAAGTAAAGGGCGGACGTCCGCATCTAAAGTAAACAAGAAAGCGACATTGTCTAGCTGGTTGCACATGAAATTACCATAAGTATTAGAAACTCTGGCCAAATGTGTTGAAAATTTTTCAACTAATAAAATTTCATATGTAATTATTAATAATTACAACTAGTAAGTGTGATAAATTCTGATAGATTATTCATTTTAACCGCATTTTATCATACTTGGATAAGATGGTAAAGATGATATTCCAAAGAAGGATTAAAATTTTTGAACTGATAATTCAAAAAATTCTTTTAACGATGACAACTGGACAGATGTTGAGATGATCGCCTGTTGCAAAAATAAAACTTCCTACACGAGACACTCCTTACGCAGATGAAAAAAAAAGACACTCAATATAAAAACCTTGGAAATTTGATTCCTGAACGGCAGTTATTATTTTGGAACAATTTAAAATCATTTGAAACATCCAAAGATTTAATTGATCTCTGATCAAGTAGCTTCATGCAATTATATGCAATAATATAAGTATAATTGAATGAAATTTTCTTAACCATAATACGTTTTATCTTTTTTTTTATAACTTATAGGGATAAAAATTTAAAAAAATGCAAAGCAAATAATAAAAATAATGGAAACTAGTACAAGAAACATATTTAAAAAAAATCTTTAAAATTATTAAATGAGAAAACACAAAAAAAATATATATCACGTCGTTGCAAAAACCTGCTACGCACGCGCAACTCATAAAGAGGTGAAATATGATGCTGCCGTTTGATTTGGCGAGATTTATTAAAGTTCATTTAAAACATTTCCTTTTTCTTTTTTTTTCCCCTCGTACTGGGGAAAATAGTAAGTTCGAATTTGAGACAACATTTTTATTGTTTAGTTAAGTTCGAGTGTAAGTAATTTTTCTTATTAGTATTAGTTTTAATTCCTTCAATTTCTTCCTATCTCTTGCTATGAATTTTGTTTAAATCTAAATATATTTTTTATACAATAGCAACGATTTTCAGAGGCATGACAGTATGGATATCTCGAATCTTTTAGTTTTTGCTTATTCCAAACGATTTTTTCAATTTTTTCAGATTATTGTAAAGAATTAATGTATTTTGTGTCGAAAATAAATGCAGAAAATTTATGGCATTTCCAAAACTAAGTATATTTAAATAGAGTTTGTAAGTAAATTCTCATTTTTATCGAATTTAGCTTTGTTTAGCGGTTTATTATTTTTCCTTCGTCGTTATTTTTAATGTTATTGAAACTTATTGAACTAAGAATATTTGATTCCGCATTTTTGAGTTTTTTTCCTCTTTATTGTGGGAACTTCAAAATTAATGTGCGTAACTCATTAGATTTCCAATTTTGTTT